GGCCAGCGCCCGGGCCGGTTCCGGCGCCGGCCGGCGCCGGAAAATTGAATTCCGAGGCGGTGCCGAAAAAAGGCCACTCCAAGACATATTTTTCTTTCGAAAATATTGATTTTCTGCTCCCGGCGCCCGGGAACCCCTTCCGGGCCGCTTCCGGCACCCGGGCCGGCGCTCGAGCCGAACGCCTGCTTTGATCGTCGGGTGGGTGTAAGTGCGGTAAGAGCGTTGTATATCCGATGAAATCGTTTCAACGAAGATGTATGTAGGTTCATGCTAGTTGACCTCACATATTCAACATATATAAAATATCGAACTTCGCATTCATCTACTTAACGTTTTGTTAGATAAGTATATTCAACAACATACCATACATACTACTCACAGAACCATCCATCTTATCAACTGAGCTATCGGGTACCACTGCCAAGATATATCGATACATACACCTCAACATACCCAACTTAGTAGCTAAGTCAGCTAAGTCGATGTGGGCTGTCCGATTCGGTTAACCCGAAATTTGCATAACTTTCTATGTTTTGCATGTTTGTTCTTGATATTGCTATGTTTCGGGAAAAAAACCACAAAAAACGTTTTAACAACTACAACACAACAGTTTTTCAGGACAGGGCGCCGCAGGTCGACGCGCCGAGCCGCCCTCAGGACGCCTGCGGGGCGCGGAGGGGAAGGGGGGAGAGGGAGAGGGGGGGGGATCAACTATTCTTCAAACTGCCTCCCCTCGGCGGCCATCACCGCCTCCCCTCTCCTCTCCTCGTTGTCGGCGGCCAGCCCGCCCCCGCTCCCTCCTGCCGCCTTCCCTCCCCGAGCCCGCCTTCCTTCTTCGGCGGCATATCCGCCCCTCCCTCCTGCACCTCTCTATCGAAGGGCGGCGCATCCGCCAGCGGCATATCCGCTCTCGCATGCGCTCGTTTTTTCCTTTTTCACGTGATGGCGAGCACATAGCCATCGTCCTGTAGTCGCCGATAAGCCGCCCAGGCTGGCGGGATCAGCTCGGCGGGCATCACGGCGACGTCGCCGCGCGGCCGCCACAGGGACGCGCCTGGGCATGGCGCGCGCACCCATTCCAGGGTCTCCACCAGCAGGTAGCTGGCGGCGCCAGCCTGCGCGCAGCAATGCACGATGTACGCCTCGCCGTCGCCCAGGAGAAAATCCTGAGGGCAGCAACGCCTCGATTTTTGGGGGGGCACACGCATGTGCACCCCTAAATACCAAGGTTGGTTGCGCCGTCTGTCCTGGCTGCCGTGCATCTGGCCGTCGATCGACGCCTCTCTGCTGGTCCACGTTTCAGCCCTGCGGAGGGGTTCCTCCTCCTCCTCCTCCTCCTCCTCCTCCTCCTCCTCCTCCTCCTGGCGGCGAGCCGCCTCGGCGGCAAACCGCCTTCCCCTCTCCCAGCCCATCTTCCTCCACAAAGGGCATGCAAGGTTGCGCCCCGAGTGCCCGAACGTACTGTCCAGCTCTGGCGTGCGCCACGCTTTGGCGCGGGAGCGCGGCGCCTCCTTCGCTTCCTCCAGGAAGCAGGCGAGCATCGCCGTCAAGGCCGACCGCTCGAAATTCTCAGGGTTGTCGATCTCCTGCGACCTGGACCGAAGCAGGTTGTGCTTCCGCTCGAGTACGAAGGCGTCCAACCAGATGCCGTCCTCCGCAGGCTGGTCGGGGACGTGCCACAAATAATGATGCTTCGGCTTGATCAGGGCTGGCCCGTGCGCGGCTTTGTGCAGCGCCAAGGAAATCGAAACGGCCTTGGTCCAGACAGCTATCAAATTCGGCACGGCGCCGATCCTCAGGACGTAGCCGAACCGCCTGCCACCTAAGCGCTCGAGGATGCGCGCGGGCCGACGCGGTGCATCCTCGAACGCGCAGGCCAGCGTTTGCGTTTCAGCTGCGGCCGCATGTCCTTTTGCCCTGCATGTACAATTCGAGCATCTTCGCCATCGCCTCGAACGACCGCGCCGCAGCGTTCGCCATGCCGCTGGGACGCAGCTCTGTGTGCACCCAATGACGAATCAAAGGGAACACGGCCAAGCAATCCGACGCCTTGCCCACGAAGTGCGACGCCTTGCAGGTCGCTTTCTTCCGAGCCACGCTGAACAGAAACGCTGGCGGTTTCCTGCCGCGTCTGCCAGTCCGCCACGCCGAGCAGCGATCCCGCCACGTTCCCCACGCGTCGGGGATGACATCCCTCACCGCCTTGAGGAGCGCAAAGATTTCGACCTGCAAGGTCCCGCCGCTGGCCAGCATGGTATGCATGGGGTCCCTCACGTATGTGCTCGGCGGCGCCACCGTCCGCAACGCCTGGCACGCCACCAGAGAACGGTCATCCAGAGTGATGCCCATTGCCGTCTCCTTCGGGGGCCGGAACATCAGAAGGGAAGGAAGGGGGGGACATCAGAAGGGGATCGATGGAAATGTTTTCCTCCCTGGCTCCAGTCTCTCGATGTTCGCTCTGGTTGTCGTGTCCCGCAGCGACGCCAAATCATCATATTGCTGCAAAAACTCGTCTGACGACAGCGGGTCAAAGCGCGACGAGTCAGCGCACCAGAGAGGCACGAGGTAATCATCGTCGTCGTAGTCTGCAAGACATTCCGCCTGATCCAGCACAACGTTCTTGCATTGCAAGCACGGTCTCAGACCTGCAGCGCCCTTGGTGCAGAATGTCTCTTTTCCAGCCGCCTCGTCTGCAATCAAGCGGTGGAACTTGGCGAAAAAGTGCACGCCGCCGATTGGCGCACCGTGCTCCGACAGACTCTCTGGCCCCAGGAACAGCGCGCGAAGCAATGCCCGCGCCGCGGCCGAGCCGCCGATGCTCTTCTTCACGACGACGCGCAAAGCGCCGATCGGCAGCCGCGCAACCTCCTTCTGCAAGAAGGATCCGGACTCGAGGAAACTCGCATACACCGCGAGCTGATTCCGACGATTATCTATCTTCAAGGCGTTGCCCACGCCAATGTCGTCGTAGTACAGCAAAAGCCTCCACGGCCGATCGCGCGACACAGGGAAACGGCGCATCGCTTCCCAAAACATTGAACTCCAGAGAGGGCAGTCCGACAGGAGCCTCGGCATCAGCCGATGCGGCAGCGCCACGCTCCATCGGAAAGGCGTGCCGATCTTGGGCTGCAGCCGCACTGCGCTGATGAGATCGGCCACGGATGCCGTCTGCGATCGCTGCATGGCCCGACGCTCACGTCTATAGCATCGCCCGCGTCGTCGCCATGGCCAAGCGCAGTCACGATTCGCTCGAGCAAAGCCGCGGACACGCCGCGCAGGGCCAGACACTGTTGCAGTCGAGCCCGCTGCTCCACCTGCTTGTCCACCTGCAGGGCGCGTTTCCCATTGCGCCGACGCCCGCGCGCGGGAGGGGCGGGGGCGGGGGGCAGCGCGAGGCCCAGCGCGGTTGAGAAAAACGAATTGCAGCCAGAGAGACGGAAGTGGAGGCGGGAATGGATCGCGGGGCGGAGTAGCCGCCGAAGGGCATGGCGGCGTAGCCGCCTGAAGGGTCGGGAGGGGCGGCGTAGCCGCCGAAGAGCGTGGGGGCGAGGGGGCATGGGGGGAGGGGGGAGGGGGGAGGGGGGTGGGTGGGGGAGATTGCGGAGGCGCGAAGTGAGCGTAGCAACGGAACTTGCAAGGGGGATTTCTTTTTCTCGCACGCAATTTCGAGCTTGAGTTTCAAGCTCGGGCTCCAAGCCGCCAGCGCTCGGAGACGGGCGCGGCTGGCGGCTCGAGCTCGGGGCGGGCGCAGCGCGGGACGGGCGCGGCGGCGGCTGGCGGCTCTTAGTGCGGGTGCGCGTGCTGCCTCCAACTCCTCATCCACCTCCTCCTCCTCTCCTCATCCTGCCTCCTCTTCCTCCTTATCCTCCTCTATCGGCCCAGCCGATCGCCGCTCAGCTCTCCTGGTGCGGCTGGCGGCAGAAGAACCGAATGCCGCCTGGGATGTCCTGCACCGTCTGCTTCGACATCTGGCACAGCATCTTGCCGCGCTCCTCGGTGCGGCGCGCCTCCTCCATCATGCGCCGCGCCTTGTCGATGAGCATCTGGCCCTTGATGCCAACGGCGCGTGCATGGCGGCAACGATTGCGCCACTCGATGAAGCGCACCACGATGGTCGCCCAGCTCCACGCACTGCCACCCGTGATGAGCTCGAAGTCATCGACGTCGTACTTGTCCGCGATGCTCGCCATGGCGGCGCAAGACCGCGAAGGGGCACGACCTCGAGCGGCTCCACTTGAGCCACAAAGACTACGGATGAGGGGTGGGACGGTGGCAGATCATGTCATTGGGAAACGCGAGAGAACGGTGCGAGCGCGGTGGGCAGCAAAGGCGGCATCTCCGCCAAATGAAGGCAAGGCGGCATGTCCGCCAAGGGCTTGCGAGAGTGGAAAGGCGGCATCCCCGCCAAACGAAGGGCTGCGGTGGTAACGAGTGGGGTGGCGATGGCAACGAAGAAATGTTTTTTTCAACAACAATAACAATTGTACGAAATCACACACCTCGTCATGAGCGGCCCAACTGCCGCCCCTGCCAAGGAGCTGCTTCGCCTCTGCTTCGTCTCCGACCGCCAATCGATGGGATTCCCAACGGTGTCGCTGGCCTTCGCGAGCCACAGCTCGCGCGGTTGGGTCTCGGGCAGGACGCGCTCGAGCAGGAGGGAGTTATGCAAGCGCTTCGCCTCGCCAAGTGAGGCATCGGAGCGCGATGAGCAGCAAAGGCGGCATCTCCGCCAAATGAAGGCAAGGCGGCATGTCCGCCAAGGGCTTGCGAGAGTGGAAAGGCGGCATCCCCGCCAAACGAAGGGCTGCGGTGGTAACGAGGGGGGTGGCGGTGGAAATGTTGTTTCACCAACAATAACAATTGTACGAAATCACACACCTCGTCAGGAGCGGCCCAACTGCCGCCCCTGCTCACGAGCGGCCCAGCGGCCGCGGCTTATTCGGGTCCTTCTCCACCTTTTTCAGGCCGTACTTCATGATGTACTGGGCCACATGGGGCGCTCAGGTGCTGTGCTTCTGCGCCTCCTTGAGCATCCCCGCGATGGCCCTCGCCGCCGAGCTCGCATCCTTCTGGATGCTGATGGCCTCGTCCTGCGTGATCGTCAACGCCACGCCGCTGTGCACGCGCTTCTGCGCCACCGCCTTCATGACTGCCACGGACTTCCTCGCCGCCTTCGCGTTATTCACAGCCCATGACGGCACCTTGTCCGCCTTCTCATGCTCGAGGTACCCGTCCAGCTCTGTCTCGAGCCTCGTTGCGGTGCCGATCCACTTCAGCGCCAGGTTTTTCTCCTGCGTCTCCTTCTTGGCCTGCTCGGCCTTCTCCCTCGCTTCCTGTCGCCTCCGCTCCTTCTCAGCGTCCTTATCCCTGCGGAGCCTTCGGGGTTGTCCGAAAATGACAACACTTCGAGCCGAGCGAACTCAATAACCCGATCCGAACCTGAAGAGTTGAACGGAAACCGAAAACGAATGCGAAGCCCAGGCGACACCCCTGCGTTGAACCCCCAAACGGCCTGCTCTTGCTCCTGTCCTTGCTCTTGCCGCGGCTCTTGCTCCTGCCCTTGCGGCGGCTCTTGCTCCTGTCGCGGGCGCCGCGCGAGCGGCTCCTGCTGCGGTTGGTGTCGCGACGTCTGTCGCGGCGTCTGCTCATGCTGTCGCGCCTGCCCCTGCTGTCGCGCCTGCTCATGCTGCGCCCCCTCCTCCTGCGGCTGTCAGACCTGCGCCTGCGGCGCCGCCTGGATCTGGACATGTCGCTCTCGTCGCTTCTGTCGCCCTTGTCGCCGCCGTGCTCTGCGACGCCCGTCGAGGCCGCTGCCCGCGGGCCGCTCTGCTTCGCCTGCGTCCTCTTATCGGTGTACAGCTCGTTGCGCACTGCGGCCTCCACTGTCTCGCTCCAGGCCGCCTCAAATTGCGGCCTGTACGTCCACTCCCCGAGATCAGGGTTCCACCTCTTATCCTGCACATTATCTTCAATCTTTTTCGCGTCGAAGCCGTCGTGCGCCCACTTCCTCAGCGGAAGGTTCTTGCCACCCTTGCGGACGCGCTCCTCCTCCATCCGTTGGACAGTGATTGAGCTGACCACGAAGGCTTCAATGCGATCGAGGTTCGACAGCCCAGGATCTTCTGCCAGATCCTTGTAGAACTGCTGCTTGAACTCACTCTTCATTTTTGCGAAACACTTTGGCGGCCACTGTCCGAACCTCCGAGAAAGGCGCACCCCGTTCGTGTTGCACGCGTCGCACTGGTAAGTCGACTGGCCCTTCGCCTTGATCCTGTAGTTGCACTCCTTTGCCGTGCGACAGCAGCGGTTGCAACGCACGATGCTATCCTCGATGCCATGCACATCCACGAACTCCCCTACCTGGGGAGCGCCTGCTGGCGGATCGTCCTGAGCTGCCTCCTCCTCCTCCGCCTGCGGCGCTGCCGCCTCGGGCGAGCGCTCCTCATTCTCAACCTTGGCTACCGCGCCCGGCGGTGGAGCCTCTTCCTCCTCAAGCTCACGCTTGGCACTCTCAAGCTCATCCTGTTTGACGCCGAGCTCGGAACCAATCTCGTCGCCGCGCTCCTCGGATCCCGATGCCGCCTCTGACGCTGCGTCGTCCGGCTCTGGTGGCAAAGCCGCTGCGCCCTGAGGAGGCAGTTCTTCGGCGGGAGCTGCGGCTGACGCAGCTTTGCGAGCCGTCCTCAACGCTGCGGGGTGCTTACCTTTGCCCTTGCCTTTGCTGTTCCCGCGTGCCTTCGGCGGCCCTGCGTCGGTCAATGCGAGCGGCGGCACAAGCTGTCCAGTCAGTGTCATCTGCGTCCCCGATAGCTTAGCTTTCCCACGGGGCTTCGCTGCGGGCGCCTTGGTCATCACTCCCTTGTTTTTCGGCCGGGCTGCTCCGAACATCACTGCCAGAGAATGCTGCTGGTGATCTTCAGCGGGCGGCGTCCCCGCCATGGCGGCGTGGCCGCCTTGGCACGCGAGAAGCCGCGCGTCGCGCGCGGCCCTGATGCCAAGATGAGCTGGACGCGAAGCGATGACGAAGAAAACGCGCGGTAAGTGAGGCGGGATAGCCGCCAGCGGAATAGCCGATTCAAAGGTGGAGGGAGGGGTGGAGTGAGGTATGAAGGGGGCGGCATATCCGCCAGCGGGCTCGCCGCTTGAGAGGGTGCAGGGGCGCGGCGAGGGAGGCGGATTGGCCGCCAGCGGACTAGCCGCTCGAAGCGTGGCGGACGCACGAGGTGATACGGATACTGAAATGAATTGCGCGCAACATGACAACCACACAAAAATGACATCATGTTATCATATGTTATCATATGTTATCAGGCGTGTGATAACACCATGCTAACACATGATAACACCTGATAACATGTTATCAGGTGTTATCAGGTGTTATAAGGTGTTATCAGGCGCGTGATAACATATGCTAACATATGATAACAGCCAACGTTTTTTTGCCAGTGCATGGCGGCGGCGTAGCGGCACGTCCGCCGAGTTAGTTAATCGGAGCAGCAGGGGCGGAGCGGCGCCCTGCGCTACCGACCGCGGACGGCGCCGCGTGCTTCAAACCGCTGCCTGAGCGGCAGCGAAAAGACGGGCGAGCGCGGAAGCGAGGCGCGCTGCCTGAGCGGCAGCGAAGAGACGGGCAAGCGCGCGCAATCGGGGCGCGCTGCCTGAGCGTCATCATATGCAAGGCGATGGGGGGGTGGGCGGACATGGCGATGCAGCACATCCAGAAAATAGCCGCACTCATTCTTATGCGGATGCAGTTTTCTCCACCCAGCCCTTCTGCCAAATCCCATCCAACCGCCCACCTGTCTTATCCGCCGAAGTTCCCTCACCTTCCTCCCGCTCCGCTCGTCCACTCGCCCCCATATCGCCTTGCATTGGGGGACGGCTACTCGGCCGCCTGCGTGGCCAAAATTCACCTCGGCGTGGCGGCCTTCACGAATTGAGTGCGGATGGAGTGTGTGGGGGTGTCCTAATTTGTTCTGACACAGGGGTGTGGTTTGAAATTGCGTTGGAGGAGTGGGAGGGGGGCGTGTAGGGCCGACGCGTCGCGCCGCCTGCGCGAATGAGGCTACTGATGCTGAGGCGACATCAGTGCTGCCAGCCGTGCACCTGCACCTACGAGGTCGCGTTGCGCCCCAGCCAGCTCGCGAGCACGTCCTCGCACTCGGCGATGCATTGCTCCTCTTGGCGGAAAGCGTTCACCGCGCGCTCCGCTATCTGGGCGCACATCTGCGTCGCAGTACGCGCGCGGCGCAACGAGTCGAGCACAGCCTGGCACTGGGTGCCGTTGAGCGCCACGATGCTATCGGGCGACATCTGGCTGGCCAACGCCGTGGACATCCTCATGCCCGCCGTGGCTGACGAAGCTGCGCCTGACGATCCGCTGCCCTCCGAGAACGCGTCCTTCAGCTGGTGCGAGCGCTCCACGCGGGATTGTGGAGGGATTGGCGCCCGCTCGACCTTCGGCGCCCCCTTGCGCCTTTTGGCGGAGCCCCAGTTGGCCTTCTCCTCCTCCCATTGGCGCCACTCCGCGAGGTCGACTTCCCACGAGTCGGCCTCGAGTGCGACAGCAGCTACCTCCGCTTCGTCCTCGCTCAAGTCGTGGTACGGCGACACGCGAAGGTGGTTCACCAGCTTGTTCCTGGCCTCCTCCACTGTCTCTCCCTGGAACCACTTGCCGCCCCTTTGGCAGCTGCTGCTCTGTGGGCACTTGAAGCCGAACATGACGGTCTTCTCGCCCTGCTGGCCTGCCATGGCGGCAGGGCGAGAAGTGCACGGCTAGCGCAGGGGCGGCGTGGGGCACGAGCCTGTGCGCGCCTAGATTCGAGCCGATACAGCGTCCCAACAACAAAAACATACATGTGTAAGAGGCGCGGTGGCATCGCACATTTCGGGATGCCAGCAGGCGGCGGAGGCGGTTTAGCCGCCAATGGAGGGCTCAGGGCGGCGTGGCCGCCAATGGGCGGTTTAGCCGCCAATGGGCGGCGTGGCCGCCAATGGAGGCTTCAGGGCGGTTTAGCCGCCAATGGGTGGCTCAGGGAAGGACTGGTGTTTTTTTTCCAACCGCATAGAACAAACCCGATGCGCCGATGCTCGTATCTGAACGGCGGTTGTCCGCCAGGCGGGGGGAGGCGGCGCGTCCGCCAATGAGATAGAGCGGCAACGAAGAGAGGGGAGGAGAGATGAGATGAGACGAGGCGGGGAGAGGCGGCGCGTCATGACGCGTCAGCGCGGATAGCTGCAACTATCCGCGCTCGAATTACGGAAGCTATGCACCCCAGCCCGCTTGCAGGTCCACGCGATCACCCTACAAGAAGACATCTCGGCGGGCGGGCGGGCGCGGC